AGTAAGAGTGAAAGAGAGAAAGGGAGGGGAAACCCTAACAGGGTCCCCATGCTGTGATCCATCCCCAGCCATCCTGAATCATGGACATGCATATGTGCCCCGCATGCTCAGGAAAGACCCGGGATGAGACCACGACCTTGCCCATGTAGGTTCAGTTGGATTATCAGTTTCCACCATCTAACCCTCTTTATGTCTTTAAATAACAAGGACCTCATCTTATTGGGGGCAGAGATACATTAAAATGTCCACCATGGTAGTTAGCAGTGAGGTGGTTAGGGCAGCTGGAACTCACAAGGCTGACAGTGCAGTTTAAGTCCTGGAGCTGGTGTCTTGAAAAATATGTTGGGCATGTGTGCGTGCATACCCAAAATTCTCAGAGAAGGGACTGCAGCAAGGTCATTTCCCTGGGGGCTGCCTTCTCACTTCCCCTCTATCTCTGTCTCTGGCAAGCACATAAACCCTATAGCAAAAATTGGAGGAGGAAAAAAGTCCACCATAACCTAATTTCTTTCAAGGAAAAATAAAGGTAGAATCCTAAAACTGTGGTTAAAACAGATTTAAATGTGTTATTAACTCACCAACCTAAATGTATACGTTTTATCAAGAAAAATCTCAAAATATTATAAAATTACACAATGTATATGAATTAACAAAAATTTTGAACCATGAATTCTGCTTATTTTAGGTGCTGTTTTTTTTCCACACTGTTAGAGCAGGAGATAGAAGGAGACAATATCCAAAGTCAGTACCCTGCCAACTCTTGATTAAAGATCTACTTTTTTTAACCTTTCCATCTCAGAATAAAAAACTGGGTTTGAATGAATATAATTTTCATCTGAGCAATGGGAGAAAAAAACAAGCATGCAAAAAAAATTTTTGTTAAATGATCAAGCAAAAACCAAAAAGAGAAACAGACCAATTAGCATGACATATTCTTAAAAGCAGGATGAGGAAAGTTTAGCACTGAAATAGCTGCATGAAATGTTAGCCAAGACAGCATAGCTTACAGCTGGCACAAAGCATGCTAAAGGAAAAGGATGGGTCAATAGAGCCACTCTACTCATTGGCTTACCGCTCTGTACATGATCTGTCTGGCCAAGGAAGATTGAAAGACATTCTACAGCAAATCAAGACAGAGGACAGAACAAAATGATTATAAAAAATGCAACAGATTTAAAACATAATTATAGCGTAATTGATTTTTTAACCCAGCGTGTATATTAAAGAGAAAAATTTTCAACCATCTCAAATGCAGAAAATGAAGAAAAAAGCCAGCTTCAAGTGATACTTTAACAAACACAACAGTCTTATTTGAGCCATACTTATCAGTTCATTCTAAAATAAAATGAATATAGTTGAAATGCTTGTGCTACAAATATAGTGATAATAGTACTCAAATTCAAATACTATAATATTGGGTCACTGAAAAAGTCATGATGCATTTTTGCATAGAAAACACAGAAAAATACACCATGTCTTTCAGACAACCTAATACACTCTAAGATCAGTCTTGCTTAGGAACAAACCTGTGTTGGAATAATGCTTTAAACTCTAGGAATAAGAAAGAGAACACATAATAACCATAATACATGCTTTAAAAAAAACCTCACAATTATAGTAAAAACCAATATACATAAGACATTCTTAAAACTTGTTTATCAATTGTTAGCTGAATCTCCATAATTCATAGGAAAATGGGATTCATTCATATTCTATAAACAAAATTAAATGAACATCTGAATTTTTAGGTTTGAGGTTTCTGCTATACCTAGTCAGTATGAATAGATTTTCTAGATATTACGTTCCTGAAACAGAGAAAGAGCCTCCTACTTGAGATCATTGCATTTAGGTGATTCCCATCCACTTGACATTTGTGAAGCAGCTACTATGTGAAGCTTACTATACATAGTGATACTTGAATACTTTCTAAAATGAATGGCATGTAGGGGCAAGTTATTTGCATCTTATTCTGAGTGGTATGAAAGACCAGCAATTAGCATAATGGCTATGTCGCTGGACTCCCATGTAGTTAACTGTGGTTCGAGTCCCGGACCCAGTGGCTTAAACTCACGCTGGGCGTGTGTGCGTGCGTGCCTAAGATCCCGAGAGGAGAATGGAGGAGAAGGGATTGTGGCGTGGCCATCCCCCCGGGGGGTGATTTCTCACTTTCTGTCTCTCTCTGTCTTCCTGGCAAGCACACATGCCCTATAGCAAAAACCTCTCTCAAAAAAAAAATAAAAGGACAACCCTGCAATTAAAATGAAAACTAGGAAATCATCTAACAGAATATATACTTAAACATTCAATTCAACTGGCATTTACGTACTGCAAGTTATAGTTCTTTAGTTTTAATTACTCATCATACACTGATAAATTTATAAGCAACTCACCGGTCCACAGGAGTGGATGTATTCTCAATAAAACTGATAACTTTTTCCCTGACATTAACAGATTTCGTCTTCAAGGCCACAGTCATTTTATTTACTAGTGATTTCATTCCTCTATCATTTGAGCCATTAGAAGATTCACCCTGAAAATAAAAAAAAAGACATAGACAAATCAACTGTGCTCCAAATGATTAGCAGACACAATACTGCCAAAAGTTGTCTACGAGTTAGGGACTAAACTATATCCCACCAAATTCAGATGTCAAAGTCCTAATGCTGAGTACACCTCAGAATGTGGCTGTATTTAGAAGTATACAGATAGGGCCTTTAAAGAGGTTATTAAGGTTGAATGAGATCATAGGAGTTAGCCCTAATTCAATTTGATTTGTGCCCTTACAAGAGAAAGAGATAGGCACACTAGGAAAGATCACATAATTATTACATACTGATACATGCTTTGGCACCTATGGAACCTCATGAAATCGTGCAATTAATGTACATAATAAACTATAAAATTTTCAAAAATGGTACTAAAACAAAAGAGAACACATGAGGAAGTGGGGGAAAGGTGGTCATCTGCAGACCAAGAAGGCCTCAGGATAAACCAAACCTGCCAACAACTTACTCTTGTAATGTCTTAATTTAAATTTAAAATTAATATCTTAACTTTTTTTTAGTGTTTGCTATAGGGCATGTGTACTCACCAGAGAGAGGCAGAGGGAGAGAGGCAAAGTGAGAAATCACCTCCCAGAGGAAATGGCCATGCTACAATCCTTTCTCCTCCATTGTCCTCTCAGGGTTTTGAGCACAGACATATGGGCCTTTGCATGATTTTTAAGCCACTGCATAGTCAGTCATGTGGGATCCAGCATGTTACCCTCCATGCTACCTGTTGGTAGCATGCTGCCTACTAATCTTGGACTTTTAACCACCAGAATGAAGAAGATAAGTTGCTGCTAATTTAAGCCACCTAGACTGCTGTATTTTGTTATGGGAACTCAGCAATCTATTCACTAGGCAAAACCATTTTTTTTAATTAAATTTATTTTTTGTATATACATTCAATCGCACTGTTTAGCTTAAAATGTGAACATTTCAATATGTGAACATTTCTCCCCAGTCCCATTGATCAAAATATCTTCAACGGATAACACCACACCTCCCCATCCTGTCAATGCTCTACCTCCACATCCCTTCTCCAAATGTCCTTCGTTAGGCCCCACTCCACATACACCTCGTCTGACATTCACACCCATCTCTTGTGTTTGTACAACCGTTAGTCAATCAGTTTCAGTCATAGAGTGCAGACATTTGGTATATGTTAAGTGGGGACATATAATGTCTCTCCTTCATAGCCTGGCTTGCCTCACTCAGCAGTAAATCTTCCATATTTTTCCACTTTCTGTCAAAAGCCAGGGTTTTGTTGGTTTTTATGGCTGAGTAGTATTCCATAGAGTATATGTGCCAGTAAAACCATTTTAAAAGTTGAAGATAGAAATGAAAAAAATCAGGATATATTAACATACGCTTGTGAAGAATCTGAAATTACCTTTTTTATTCAATAAGCAATAAAGTTATTAATATCTCTTCATCTAGCCTACAAAATAAACAAAAGTATAATCAAACTACCATTCATGTAGCTGAATTTAAAAATGTTTATTCCTTGTAAATTTTGCTCTTAAAAACATTCCCACTTAGGCCTTTAATTTCTGAAGGAAAGTTACCCTGATGTACCTACTGTGACAGCTGTGAGTATAGTTCTCAAATAATTTCATGGCATTGCTTACAGAGCCTACAGGGCAATTATATCCTACAAGTGTCAAATGCTTAAAAGTAATACTACCTTTAGCCTATTAACTTCTCTTCAGAATTTATGGGAAGAAAATAAGTAATCATAAAGTGACTTATGGGTACTAGTTGATAAGAAATTATACAGTCATTAAAAAATTTTTTTAAAGTCATGCTTTTATTATTGCCTGAGGGCACATGTGCTTGAGAAACAGAGAATACACTCCTCAACAGGGCTGGTCATGCCACAATCCTCCTTCTCCATCCCATCAGAATCCTGAGCTTACACTTTTTTTTTTTTTTGGAGAGATTTTTACTGTAGGGCGCGTGCGCTCGCCAGACAGACAGAGAGAGACATAGAGGCAGAAAGCGAGAAATCACCCCCCAGGGGGGATGGTCACGCCGCAATCCCTTCTCCTCCATTCTCCTCTCGGGATCTTGGGCACGCATGCACATGCGCCTGGCGTAAGTTTTAAGCCACCGGGTCCGGGACACGAACCGCGGTCGACTACGTGGGAGTCTAGCGACATAGCCATTACGCTAACTGCTGGTTCCCCTGAGCTTACACTTGGCAAGTTTTTCAAGCTGCTAGGGCTAAGCCTCAAACTATGGTCAGTCGTGTGGGACCTGGCTCCTATCTAAAGGGTTTAACTGCTGTGCCACAGGACTAGTCCTAAAAACGCATGTGAAAACACTAGAAAGTGCTCATTTAGTGAAAAGGCAAAAAAAAAAACCATATATGCTATGATTTTTTAAAACAGAATATTAAAATACACATGCTTTTAAAAAGATTTGTTGAAAATATTTAAAAAAATAAGTGGCAATTTTCTCTGGTTTAAAGGGATTTTTTTCCTTTATATTTTTCTTATTTACGTGTGATGCTACAATGTGTTACTTTTATTTTTAGAAGAAATAAGTTATTAAAAATACACATGTGAGGGCCAGCAGGTGGCGAGGTGACTAAGGGTGCTAGACTCCCACATGGTGGACTGCAGTTCAAGTCCTGAACCTGGCAGCTTGCTTTCTCACTTTCCACCTTTCTCTCTCTCTCTGTCCCTCTCTGGTCAAAATAAATAGATAAATAAATAAATAGTTAAGTAAAATAATTCTTAAAAAAAATACAGACATGTTTCAATTACCCAATCTAAATTCGAAACCAAATTAAACTGACTGAAAATTCTTTGACACTTTTGAATAATACACATCTTTTTTTAATTTTTTTTATTTTTTATTATCATCATAATCTTCTTTATATTACATTGGATTACAAATAACTTTACAGTGTATTACATTGCTTTCTCAAAATGGAATGCCATGCATGTCAGTCAATACAGAGACATTAAACTCCCTGCTTCAACATTCAATATCTTTTCTATGTTTTCCCCAACCAGTATTATTTATATATTATAATTATTTTAATAACACACATCTTTAAGATAGATTCTACAATGGCCTCAATCAATGCTTTTCTGACTATAAAAACTTCAGTATAAAGAAAATCTCACAGTGTGAATGGGAATAGAAATAAGAATAATGGCTTTTGGAGATCTATTTAATAATAATAATAATGTAGAGTTCAATGAATTTTCCTAAGTAAAAGTACTCTACTATTTTTTTAACTTGTATATAAGAGAAAGAGAGAACCATGCTTTATTTAACAGGAATACTTTCTGAGAAACGTGCAATTAGGCAGCTTTGTCACTGTACGAAAATCAGAGTACACTTACGCAGAGATGGCACAGCCTACTATACACCTAGGCCACTGAGATGACAGCTTATTGCTCCATCATCATATATACATATGGTGGACAGTCTGTCAGTGACCATTAAGAAATGCATGGCTGTATTCAACAATGGGGGAATAAGTGAATAAATTATAACACATCCATACAATGAAATACTATTTACTTATTAAAAAGGAAAACAAAAATTATTAAATAAAATGGCAATTTTACATGAAATGTACAAAAATTCTCAGAAAAGTTTTATTGTGACAATAATCTGCTTTGATGTGCATGGCTGAAGATAAACCTCAATTAATAAATACATCTAGTGAGCGTAACGATTACATCCCTGGACTTCCACATATTCAACTGTGGTTCAAGTTGCGGACATGACAGGTTAAACTCATGCTGGGCGCCTGTGCAAGTGCACCCAAAATTCTGAGAGAAGAATGGAGGAGAAGGGGTTGCGGCATGGCCATCACCCCTGGGGGGTGATTTCTCACTTTGTCTATCTCTCTGGTGAGAGTATGATATCTCTTTTAAAAAAAGAATCATAATAGATGATACCAAATAGCATTTGGACAGAGAGAAATTTGAAGAGTTGAATCTCAAGACTCCTAGCCAGTTTAGCTGCATAAGCTTGTCCTATCATTTTATTATGCTAGCAACATATGTAATATGTATGTATGTAAATAAAATATTTGGCTCCATTTCTGTTATGCTGGGGGTTTAGTAGTCACTTTCCCTGGGAATCTGTCCAAATCTAGTGAAGTACTTTACATATACACTTACGTCAACAGAAGAACTGATACTGCTTCTTGAGCCTGAGGTGCTAGCAATCCAATGACCATATCCATTTTCTGGTCCATCCACGTTAATGTCTGCCAGGTGCTGTTGCAATGCTTAAGACAAACAAGAAAAAAACCCTGAAATATCAACCGCCCTTTTGGAAAGATTCATTATCAAAGAAGTAAAATAAACATGTCATAGATCAGTGAAAAAGGACCCAAGGATATAATCATAGGTATCCAGAGGATATAATCATAGGTATCCAGGGTAAGTAAATGATCTTCTTCCCTCTAAAGCCCTCTGTACACAAATAACTTTTTAACAATTTGCTAGAGGGTGTGTGTACTCACCGGAGAGAGACAGAGTGAGAGAAAAGGAAAGTGAGAAAGCATCTCTGATGGAGGTTGGTCATGCCACAATCCTTTTTCCTCTATCTCTCCCTCCTTTTTGGATTCTGTATGCACACACGTGCCCCACATATTTTTCAAGTCTCTGGCTCTGGAACTCGGACCACGCTGTTGGCCATGTGGAATCCAGCCACCTTAACCACCATGCCACAGGATGATCCCACAAACTTTTAATTGAACCCTAAGATGATCAAAACTATATAGGCTTTATGGTTTCCACTTTGGAAGGCAACCTTTCAAGGATTAACAGATAATCTCAGCAATTTTATGATATAAGGAATAGAAATCCAATGGTGGCTTTTATGACATCACAAGGAGACATAAATTTTTCCCATATGTGTGTGTGTGTGTACATTATATTTTTGCCATAGGGCATGTACGCTCTCCAGGGACAGACATGAGACAAGGAAAGTGAGAAATCAACCCTCTCCCCAGAAGGATGGCCACTCTGCAGTCCCTTCTCCTCCATTCTCCTCTTGGGATTTTTGGCATGCACGCACATGTGCTTGGCATGTTTTTTAAGCCGCCAGGTCTGGGACTTGAACTGTGGAGCTGGCCATGTTGGATCCAGTGCCTTAACCACCATGCCACCTGCTGACCCAGAAATAATTCACATTTTAAAAAATGTTTCTAAAACCTAGACTATACTATAAAAGAATGTTTTCCTAATACTTTTGAGAACTACAAGCTTAATAACCAACTTTTTATTCTGTTTTCAGGATTCCTAATTGTACCGGACCCAGGGTTGACACTCCCTTAACATATTTATTAGAAGAATCCCTTTTGTAGATCACTTAGGGTAGGAGTCTCAAAGACAGTTATTAGGCCATGATAATTGAGAGATAATCATAACCCTTGTTAATGTCCTCAAAGACCAAGAGGAAATAGATCTGACTTTAACAGAAATTCTGAGTTACAATATAAGAAAATATTAAGTAAAAATTTAGTCTTTATAAGACTCCTATGACTAAAACCTGAGATTCCATTTTCTTTTTTAAAAAAGAATTATTTTATTTAACTTTATTTATTATTATTATCATTATTATTTTCTAGTTTGATCAGAGAGAGACAGAGAGAGAGAGGAAGTAAGAAAGCAAGCCACCAGGTCTGAGACTTGAACCGTGGTCAGCCAAGTGGGAGTCCAGCGCCTTTAACCATCATGCCACTTGCTGGCCCCAATCTTTAACACCTATGGATTTGACTTTTTCATTAGTTTTCCCAGTACTTAGTTTTACAGTTTAGTATTATATGGCATCTCTGTTCCTAATGTAACACGGGCTCTTTCTTAATCTTACTACACTGACCTAATTCTTCATACATTCTTATATACTTGCCTATGAGATCTTATCAATTATTTTACTAGCCTGGATTACCCGATATTAGTCTGCAGATTTGAGAATATCCAGGTTATTTATTTTATTCTATTTAGTCAACATTTTTTAGGAGGTGATACATTCAAATGGTTCAAAAATAAAATCGTAACAAAAACATTCAGACAACATAAAGAAAGTATTTCTCCAACTCTTCCTTCCTAGTCACCATACCAAATCCTTCTCCACAGAAACAAATAATGACAGTTTTGCATGTATCTCTATAGAAATGCTTTTGGGGAACACAAGCTAACAAAATACATCTATTTAAATAGTCTTTCATCTAATATTTACTCATTTCAATGGCCTATTACGTTTATCTGTTATTTATATGTCCTGCTGACCTTGTTCTCTGAAAATTCTGAATGACTGAAGAGACAATATACCCATGAACTAATAATTTAGTCTCTACAAACCAACCCTGCTGAAAATCAATATATTGTTTTAAGAAAAGTAAAGGCAAAAATTTAATAAATTAAAACCTTACCCATAAATCCTCCACTGGCAATACTCACATATTCTTTGTTTTTCTGCAATAGAAAATAAGATTTTACTTAATCTAAAATACAATTTGATTAAAACCCGATAGTTCTAAAGCGGAGATGAATTAAATACATGGTTATACATTAAGTTTCTGAACTTACATTGTTTTACTTGACATGTTGGACTTTGACACTGAGAAGTATATACATCTACCTTATGTATTATAGGCTGGTGCTTAGTTAGGAAGAAGTCAACTTCAAGTCTAATAATAAGACTTGATTTTACTTTTGTCCCACAAAGTGCAATAACCAAACCAAAACTGGTTAAATGGTATTTTAGGATGTAATCAGGTTGGTTTTTAAAAGCTTTCAAAATACTTTATATCCGTTGTAAAAAGGCAGTGTAAAAGAAGTATTACAGTTAATTATGAGGAGAAATGACAATTTTACCATTTTTGAAACTTGCAAAAATGTAATCGATATAGAAACAGACAAAAAGAAGACAAAAAGATATCTGGACATTATCTGCTTCCTGATGGAAATACACATTACTTCCCCAGGATTCCCTGGTCCTCCAAAAAGCAATCTGATCATATCTTTACATCTAACTACCAGCCTATAGGAAATACCAGGGACAGACTCTGACATATGACACTGATTATAATCAACAAAATTCAGATTATGAACTCTGTAAGACAAATTAACTGATTTCCCCCCAATAAAGATACACAATGAAAAAAAAAAATAGAAAGAGAGGCACTATAAAATAGAATTAGAAACTATCAATAAAATACAACGTCTTCTTTCAGATTCTAAGAAAGTCAAGGAAACTTGAACACTACTTAGTTTTTTTTAATAATGAAAGTAGGATTAAAAAAAAGTTTGGGGCTAGCAGGTGAGGTGACAGTTAAGGCACCTGGACCCCATATGACAACTGCACGGGTCGAATCCTGGGCCCAGTGGCTTAAAACACACTGGGTGCGTGTGCATGCATGCCCAAAATCATGAGAGGAGAATGGAGGAGAGGGGATTGTGGCGTGGCCACCCCCTTGAAGGATGCTCTCTTACTTTCCCTCTCATTCTGTTCACAGCCAGTCCATGTGCCCTATAATTAAAAAATAAAAGTCCATAATACTCCAAACTCCTGCTATGTGACAGCCCTTACAAAACATAGTTAATAACTGAAGGATTTTTAGAATAGGTCTCTTAAATTTATGAGTAAAATTAATTTGAGTCCCTAATTTTGTTATTATATAAGTTGCTAGGTCCCTTCTTTTAATAAAGTTTAAAATTATCTTATACTCCCTCCCCCAAATACTTTGTTACTTCTCTGTGTTTCTCAAACAATTTTCAACCAAGGATTTTGCCTTCAGACTAATTTTTCTTAAACTAGATTCCTAATTAAATATAACAAATAGAAATGAATCCAAGCTGGGAGACCTACGTAATATCATGCCTACTTGTCCAGATTCCAAAGCTTAGGATCATACAAAGTAAGAGGTTTAATGTATAAATTACCAAATAACACTTAATACATTATTTATATAAAGATAGAGCTATCACTAATTGAAGTTTTGAAAGAAAGTAGGACAGGTTTGCACAAAATCATGAATAAAAATTAGCTGTGCTGAAGACAACACTCAGACACAGAAAAAAGGCAGCTAAATGTTATAAATAAGTAAGTATATATAAATCTTATCTCAAAATGAATATATTAAAGTGAATTATATATCTACCATAAGAGTACTAGAACACAGATAGGCATTAAGATCAATACAACATAATAATACAAAAATCAATTCTGATGCATACAGGAATTAGCATAATAAAAAGGGAGTACTTCAAATGGGTAACATAATTGGTTACTATCTAGACTAAAAAAATGTTTTTATTTCCATTTCAAATCCTATACAAAAATAAATTCCAGATAGTTAAAGACTTAAACATAAAATAAGCCATATAAGCCTGTGAAAAAATCTGGAGGAGAAAATTCTTTTGGCAAGACTTAAAAAACAAGAACCTGTAAAGAAAAATACAGATAAATCTTACTGTACGTAAAAGCAAATAAAAATGAATTTTAAAGATGATATCAATAACCAAGCAAAACTGAAGTAATCTGTGTGAGCATACCTGTAAAAAGTGTGCCAGGACCATGTTCATATACATGTCTTCTTCCTCCCTGCCGCTGCCCATAAAACAGAGGTGCTCCCCGCCAGCTATAGAGCCAGACTCAATAGATTGCTTCTGTGCTTCCAGCAAAGATTTGACAGACTGCGCAAACTCAGATGGATTCTGGAGCATCTAGACAATTTTTCAAAAAATTAAAAACTTGGCAAAGCTGGTTTCAGATACATTTGCAAAGGCTAAAGTAATTTTCCAGGAAAAAAGATCTCAAAATTAAAAAGCCTCCATGAAAACAAAGGAAAAAACAAGGAAAAAATGTGTATAAATGGGGAACCAGCAGTTAGCATAATGGCTATGTCGCTGGACTCCCATGTAGTCGACCGCGGTTCGCGTCCTGGACCCGGTGGCTTAAAACTCACGCCAGGCACGTGTGCGTGCATGCCCAAGACCCCGAAAGGAGAATGGAGGAGAAGGGACTGCGGTGTGACCATCCCCCCGAGGGGTGATTTCTCGCTTTCTGTCTCTATATCTCTCTCTGTCTGGTGAGTACACGCGCCCTATAGCAAAAAAACCTCTCAAAAAAAAAAAAATGGTATAAATGTATCTATAGTACCTTAGAACAAAAGTTGAAAAGTCACAGAATAATTAACAAGGCCATATAAGAAGAATAGTAAAAATCTAAGAGAAAAATGGACAGGACACATAGAAAAGCAATTTGTTTAAATGAAGAAAAGAAACAAATATAAACAAACAACACATTGGCAAAAAAAAATTAAAAAATGAAAAAACCTTCATGAAAAATTAACACTATTTTTAACTAATAGAAATTAGCACTATTTTTAACTAATAGTCTGGTAAAATAAAGATAGATAATTTTTAAAATTATTTATTTATTATCATTTTTAAAATTTTTTTATCAGACAGAGAAAGGGAAAGTAAGAAAGCAAGCCTCCAGCTCCAGGACTTGACTGTGGTCAGCCGTGTGGGAGGTCTAGCACTTCAACCACCACACTACTTGCTGGTCCCCTTCTTTTTTTTTTAAATTAAATTTTATTTATCATTACCATAATCTTATTTATATTACACTGAATCACATACATCTTTACAGTGTAGTATATTTCTATCTCCAGAGGAATAACTCCCACATCAGTCAAGACAAAAACATTACTATCACATTATCATCAAATAGCTTTTCATCATTTTTTTCCCAGATGATTATTATTATTCTCATTATTTTTTTAAAAATATTCTATCAGTATATATCATTTTGCTTGTAAAAAGAATTT